AATGGAAACTTCAAACTGGAACATTCTGCTGCAGTTCTCTTTCAAAGAGAGTCAAGAAAGAGAGCATGTCTGCAGAAATGCAGGTGACAGAAAACATTTTTAGAACAAGGAAGAGCTCCATCACAGGAAACATCTAACTGGTACAATAAAAAAGCTCTTCAGTTTGAATTCTGCTTCTCTGGAACATAAGATAGAAGCATTCAGAGGCTTCCAGACATGAGCAACTTACCCCTATCCTGCATGCTCAGTCACTGTGGTCAGTTCTCTGTTTTTTAGGATGCTAAACTAAGGAAAAGGGGGATTGTTCCTGCTGCTAATTCTCTTTCACAACACTCAGGATAATCCTAACTCTGAAACCAAGACTACCTTTCTGCCTTCCCTGCAGGCTCCTCTCACTGATGGATGACAATGACCACCTTGAGGGAAGTGCTGGTTTGGGAGTGACCAGGGGGACACAGGAACCCTTTAAAAGCTCAGCTCCCCCCGTGCCATCCTCTCTCACCTCCTTTTTAGAGGCAGTCCTGAATTCCAGGCAGCGCTGAAAGTTACTGGTGGTAAAGGCACCTCTATCCCAAAAGCCAGAAAGGTCATTTTGATTCCACTTACTGTCTCTACCCTCTGCAGTGGACCAAAGGGAACCTTTATTTCCTTTTTTAGCTCAATACATGACTTGCAGAGAGATGCAATGACAGTAAAGGGGAAATCATGCAGAGCTGCATCCCAAACCAATTCATCAGCAAACAGAGCACGCCTGCCTTACGAATTTGCCTGCAGCTCTTGTCTGCTGTGTTATTTTTAAACTGCCTGCAGGTTGCAGATTTTTCAGTGGTCCTTCTCCTACTAATGTACACACAGGATTTAGCAAGGCACAACTTTCATTATTGTGAATTTGAGTTACTAGAATTCCCAGCACATTAAAATTCAGCATCCTTCATCTTCCCACAAACTTCTTGCTACATTCACAGGAGGACATCCCATGTCCCCTGCAGCCTGCCTGATGACAAGGTCAGTGTAACTCAGCCCTGCATCCCTGATGTTCCCAGCTGCCATTCCTCAGCCTGTGGAATGCATCTTGCAGTTGCTGTAATCAGCAACCCGGGCATCTAGCTACACACTCTGCAAAGACCCGAGAAGATAAACCCAACTCTCTGAGCCCAGTGCTCAGTTTAACAATGCTGTTAGCACCTCAGCACCAGACCCAGCTGCTGTAGCAATGAGGGCTGTGGGCAGCTCAGGGCACTCTCCCATCACACAATTCATAGATGTCCCAGCAAACCTGCCCCACTTCCTGTGGGAGGCTGGCTGGGATGGAGGCAGGGTCTGACATGTGCAAATGGGAGAGTTTCTATGAGCAGAAAACCTTCACAATCATTGCACAGTTCCCTCAGAGAGGGAATTGCAGGAAGAGTGCTCTATTTATGGCACCACAATGTTTTAAAGAAGAAAGCAAGGGGGTGTTTTTCACCACAACTGCTGCTGATGTAAACACAAGCTACAGATGCTCAGTCTTTCTGAGGGGTCAGACCCTGGAGCCAAATGTAATGAATATTATGGTTTGTTTGCTTCTTCTTTGTTGCCTGGTTGATTCTGCAGCCCAGAGCTGCACTGCAGAGCCATGCCCATCACTTTGGAACCTCTCCCCTCCTCTGACTGGGGACGTCTCAGACATTAACCCACTCACACTGCACCACTGTTAGGAGCTCTAGAAATTACCCTGCTAGCATTGTAGGAAGAATTTGCCCAGCATCATCAGCAGGGGCACAGCCACATTGGTTTCCACCCCTTTGGCACACGGAGCAGGTGAGGAGCTTGTGATACGTGAGGGGTTTTTTTTGGGGTTGAAGCTCCAGCACAGAAGTCTTCACCCTCAAATGTGTACAGCAAGGAACTTAAAGTGATTTTGGCATAAACAGCCAATAAGCTTCAGCCAGAGCAAAATCCTGTGGCCCCACAGGGCTGAGGATTGCCTTCTTGTGGGGCAGTGAGGGTCAACAGGCTGGCCTGGCTGTGCTGGGGTTAAACTGGTGCTCTCTGGACCCTCATAGCGACTGTCCCTCATCCTTCCACATTACACAGAGAGTTAAGCTGCTGCTTGCTTCCCCCTGCTGATTTGGAGAATCATGGTTTGGCTCTTGGCTGTTTGTATTTTGCAGACATCCCCTGTGTAATTGCATGGCCTGGCCCCAGGCTGTCAGGCTCTGGGAGAAATAACCACATTATTCCACAGAACAGTTAGCATAATTAAAATATTGACTGCAGATTAAAAAAATGTGCTGAATGTTTCACAGAGTGGTTGGAGGGTTGGCAAGCCTTAGCAGCTTGTTGGCTGCAGGAACTGGCTGATATTTAGGAGTGCCTTCTCCTCCAGCAGGCACTGCTGTATGTGGGAACTACTTTTTGTGCTGTCAACTTCTGATTTCCCAAGCAGCCAGCCCACAACGAGGAGAAAATGAACTGACTGGAAATGAGGTGCTCCAAGGGCTCTCTTGTGATTCTCAGTGCCAGTGAGACCACTTCCTTGTTATTCAGGACTTCAGGACATCTGTCTTGCTGTGTCTCTATCAGTTTTTGTGTCCATCTCTCCCAATGCACAGTATAGAAACTGCATATGGTAAGAAGGACTGCTTGTACCATATGAGAAACATTAATAAAGTTTAAAAGCCCACAAAAACCTCCACTGGAACCTGTGGTTTAGCTGCTATTCTTTCTTTGACATTAGATTTCTACCTGTGTTTCATCTGCAATGAAAGTCTAAGGCACAAAGTCCTTGCATTTCCACAACCAAAAGGGCAGAAAGGGAGGGAAGAAACGCAGTTGGCAGGACTGCTGTAAACCACAGAAGCACTCAGGGAAACCTCAGTGTCCCTGTGGTATCTCCTCATTCCCCTTCTTAAGGGAATATCTGGGACCATGGGCATTGCTGGAGACCCACAGGTTCGGGTTCAAATGATTTCCTGGTTCTTTGTGTATCCCCTATCTGGCAAAAACTTCAAACGACCTCATGGTACCAGTATTAAACAAAATCTGTGGGGGATGTCTAACCCACTTTGCAGACACCTACATCCTAAAGGAAACACAGCAGAGCCAGTAAATCAGCTTCTTGTTTAATCCTCACTTCCATGCTTGACAAACTCCTGGCCTGGGAGGAGCAGCAGTGCAGTCTGACAGGAGCAGGGACAGCTGAGCTGAGCTTGTCCCTCTCCACTGCAGCTCCCAGGGACAGGGCTCTGATTCACAGCCTCGTCTGCAGCTCTTTGGGGATGAGCTAATTTCATGAACATTTCTATTTCCACTCAAGAGGTGCCACAAGAAATGACCAAATGCTATTTCCCGAGGCTTCTATTACAGCTTTAAAGTGATCATAATAGCAAATTAATAGGAGATCTACTCTGCCATTTTCCATTCTCATTGCTATTGCTGTAATCAAGAGCAGCTCTAATTCTTCAAAGCTTATTTTTGTGGTACTTCTCATTTTTGAATATGCTGCTAGGAAAGGAGCAGAATATCTTGGCACTCCAGCTGTGGTCTGTAGGCTACTGCCTTCCTTCTGTGCAAAGCTCATTGCTATTTTCTGCTCTCAACTTAATGGTGACCTCCAAATTGTAAATTATAAATATCACCTTGGTAGGTACCATGAGTTCAAAGGCAAAAAAAAAAAAAATTACTTTAAATATCTTGTAAATTAAACCCCCAGATAAACTCAGTGGAATGAGAAAAATGGTTCTCTAAATTCAATACAAAGAAAGAGAATTTCACTGGGCATGCATGATGTGTATGGGGAATTATTACAGCTTTTCTCTGCTCTAATAGTTCACATAGCCAAGTTTTTAGTTTGTCTCCACTGAATGATTCATCTCTATTACCAGTATTTTCAAAATTAAATGGAAGAGGAGGAATGTGTTGATACCCCTGCTGTGTTTAATAATCTTCCAAAAATTGTTTCCTGTTTACTTGGAAATCCCCACCTCCATGCTGTGATTTAGGCATTTTCACCCTGTTAACTTAAAAACAAAGCCTAGAAGATGCTGGATATGTATGATCTTGCAGTCATAAAGCAATGTATGATAAATGTTGTTGTTGCAGAGAAAAATTACTTGAAAATGTACATATGTTCATAGCTTCACATCCACAATTTAAATCATAACTGGTTGTTGGGAAAAAAAATACAAATTGCTGCTCAGTTTTTATTTCTGCAACAGGTCTGATGGCAGCTTCTCCTTCAACAATTACTGTACTGGTGCTGTAATATAAATCTCAGTAAAGACATCAATAACCCCATTTAGGGGACTGTCCCACTGTCCTCCATGGCACTGGCTGGCACACAACTGTGAATACTCAGTGGGTATTGTTTCATGCAGCACTTGTCTATAAGCAAAACTTGTGGTGCATTTCCAAGGAAATTTATTAAAAATACCTAAATTGTTTTTCCAGATGAAGCATTATCTCTGAATTCCTGTGGCTTGGCTGGACAAAAAGGAAAGAATTTTCTCCTTAGCTTTCTCAAGACATAAATTTTCACAGTAGTTCTGGGATTTTATTTACACAGCACATATCAAACAAACTCTTCTTTTATATAAGATTTGCATTAGCTCACAAAGGTCAGTGTGTTCTGTGTTAGTTCATGTGAAGAGTTAATTTAAAAGGCAGCAATATCCTGTGACCCAGGAACAGAACTGGGATCTGGGGATTCCAAAGGGATCTGAGCTCTCTCACACTTCCTCTCAGCTTTTCATAAAGGTCTGCATTTTTCTAAATGAGCATTAAATTGATGTGATTAACTGGAGGCCACGTGAGCCTGATTTACAGATGTGTTAAACTTCCACTGCTCCTGTTAAAGCCATGGGGAGCTCTCAGCTCTGCAGGTTTCCGGAGGCTGTGGCAGCTCCCTTGCAGCTTTTGGGGGGACAGTGGCACCATTGCCTTGGTGAGCACCTTTGCCTGCCCTTTGCTAGTCACTGTGGGGTTTTGTCTAACAGGTTTTTCCTCTCTTCCCCTCTCAGATGAGATGGAGCAGTCCCCTGCAGTGCGTTCTGACTACTTGGTCTCAGGGATTCGAACTCCACCAGTGAGGAGGAACAGCAAACTGGCAACACTGGGCAGGATCTTCAAACCGTGGAAGTGGCGGAAAAAGAAAAATGAGAAGCTAAAGCAGACATCTGCAGGTAGGCTGAGAACAGGAGAGGGATGTTGCACAGCAAAGCTTTCATGGGGCATGTTAAAGGTGACCTGAGCCAAGTCCAACTCAGAGATTCCAGCATTCAACAGATTAATAATGTTTAAGGGGTCCATATAGGCTGACTTCCTATATAACACAATTTAGTACATTTAGAAGGAAAGGTCAAAATATGAGAGTGAATCACAAGCCTTTCCCCCAGACTACTTTCCATGGGCTGTCCCTTCTCCACACAGGCTACATTTATGGCCCCAAGTATTGTCACCCCTTTTATTTGGGGTGAAGTTTATATAGGTCACAGTAACATGATGAGAAGTGGCAGGAGGGAGCTGCAGCATGTGAAATGCCTTCCCTCAAGCAGCTGTCTCTGAGGGGAAGGAGCCCAGCACACAGCACAGCATCCTCTCACTGGTCTCCAGGCTTGTCCCAGGAGATCAGTACGGAGACAAAGTCACTTGCATTTTCCTGAGATGGGACAGTGCACTTGCCTCTGTATCCTGTGGGAATGTCCCAGTGGAGGACACTGGCCCAGGCAGCTCCAAGGTGCCACAGTAAACAGCAGGACAGCTCTGAAATCCCTGTGACTGCACTCAGAGTGATCTGACAGCACCTCACATCATAAACCTCAGCTTTACATGTGGTGATTTTAACAAAGGAAGAGGCACAAATAGTTGACCAATCCATACTCCCCAAAACAAAATCCTTGCAGTCCTTTCCAGGAGTTGAGCCTAGTGGGAATTTTATGTTGTCTTTCTCACCCCATTACATGACTGCTCTGTTGGTAACTGGTGCTGTGTTGTGCCACTACTTTGTGCAGTGCTGGAGAAGAAGATGACAGCACGGCAAGGGAGGGATGAACTCATTAAAAAAGGCCTTCTGGAGATGATGGAACAAGGTAAGAAAAAATTCTTAATTGCTTTTTTTTATCAGAGGCTCTTTCAGGACAGGAAACACATATTTGCAAAAGCAGAATAAACAAGCAAATGAATAAAAACCTTCAAACAGAGAGGAAAACTCAGTGTGTGAATTTAAGGCTTGTCATCCTTCGAGCTCCTTCCTGCTAGAATCAATCCATGTACTTTAGTGTTTGATGCTCTCCCATCTTGAATGCAGCTCTGCCTTCCCTTGGTTTACACGTGGTGCAGCCTGAGCTGGTACGTATGTTTTATATAATTGCTCTAAACCCAGCTAAATCCTTCTGCCAAGAAATCCAGCTCAAGCTGGATAAATATAAACTTCAACATACAGATGCAGTCAGCTGACATGAATGAACAACCTATGGATCCAAATCCCATCAAATGGGATTTTTTCAGCTGTTTTTCCAGTAAACCAAGTTTGTGATGTAATGTGTTACCAGTCTGCCTGCTTTTCATTCCAATGGAAAAATGAAGCATTTAATGGAGTAATTTTAAAGCTTTGAGTACAAACCAGAAGTGATGGAAGGAAAGATGATAAAGTTTCAGAAGTACTCACAAAGGACATGGTTCTTGTGCTCCAAAGCCATGACAGATGCTCAAAGGAGACACAGATTTGGGTGACTGTTCTGTGAGATTAACCGAGCTCCCAGTATTATGGACAACATCCCAATTTCCATTTCCACCTAAACTGAGATAAACCCCACAAATGCATCTTTACTTTGAAAGCATCATAGCAGAAAGTACTGTCATGAAAGAGGACTGGCCTTTTGAGTTTGATTAATCTCACAGATAGAAGTTATGTTATTGGAAAGTAGTAATTGAGTTTCTTTTGTATAAAACAAATGCCATGCCTATAAATAACCCCTGGGACAATACTCAGTGATGCCATGCTGGAAAGAAACTGAGCAACTGAAGAGTCAGAAAAAGAGCATTTTAAACAGGATTTTTTTTCCATGGGAGTAAAGAAATTTTAATATTATTCTGTTGGATATATTTTAAGCTTTATATTTAATAATCCATCAAACCATTCATTTATTCTAAAATGGAAGTTCTTAGAAAGTTAATTTTTAATTCTGTGCATTGAAGTCTTTGTGTCTCTCATAATTCTAGATAATTACTTGTCCTATTAGCATATTAGCATTACTGCATATACATGATCTCCATTAGGAGCAGGAAAGTTCCCTATAATCCATGAATTTGAAGACATGCATTTCCCCAGCTCTACAAAACATCAGTAAACTAGAACTTCTGTAGAGCACATTAAGAAGCAATAATAAGGAATCAATAAACCTCTTGCATGCATAAAGAATGGTTGGAAGGAAAAGGTGATGCCAAGGAGCAAGATAATTTTAACAAAATTAAAATAGTTGAAATAAATATAGTCAAGTGAGATGTGAGGACAAGCTGTGCTTTTAACTAGACAGCTGCAAACTGACTGCTTACCTGTCTGCAGGAAAGTTGCCTGGAGTTCCTATAAACATCACACAAATTTCCAGTGCCTCCCTGTGTCCAGAAAGGGAAGAATGGATCACAGTCAGCTGAAGGACATTGCAGCTGCCTGCAAGTTATTTTTCTTTACAGAATGTTGTGAATCTCCAGGGTTATTTTATTATATTAGCAGAAGCAGCTTATTAACTGGAATAAAAACTGACCCAAATAATTCTCAGTAAATGATTAATGCCCTACTTGGACTGAGCTGAAGTGGCAGCAGTTTCAAGGCCAAGTCCTTGTTTATGCAGCTAAGTTGCAATTGTCAAAGCAGCAATAGTGTGCTGAAAGACTACAGTAAATCCCTCTATTCCATCAGGCTCTACTCCACTTCCAGGGAGCTGATTCCTGAACAGCCCAACTGGGGTGATGCTGCAGCCTGAGAAGCCTCGTGCATTTGCAGTAGGTGCCACTCACCTGTAGCACAAGGTCAGCAATGTGTGGCAGTGGCCCTGGCACTGGCCCTGGCACTGGCCCATGTGGCTCTGACCCTGCACAGCGCTGGTGCAGGATCTGCAGGATCAGCCCAGGGTGAATTGCACTGTCCCTGTCAGGGTGGTCAGCCACCCTGGCAGGTTATGTCACCCTTTCTCCTCACACAGCCCCCAGTCCTGGCTGCCCGTTCTCTGCATGGCTCAGGCCACCTCTGTGCCCTGCTCCTCTGTGGCTCTGCTCACAGGGCAGATGCCAGCCTTGCCCTGGAAAACTCCTGAAAGGCAGCTTCACTCTGGGGAACCAGCTTAACTCCCTGAGAGATGACAAGGGTCTGGCACACAGCGGGGTTAATTCCCAGCAAAGTCACAACCCTGCTCCTGGTTACCCGGCAATGCTGAGGGCTGAGGTTCTCCTTCCTCGTGGAGCTGAGGTCTGTGCTTTGTCCTGTCCCCAGACCATCTCTAAAATATGATGTTGGGACCCACTGGCACCCAAAGCAGCACATCCGCTTTGATGAAAGCACCAGCTGATCCCTCCTGCCCAAGAACATGGCTGTTGTGAGTCTCAGAAATGCTCCAAGGGAACTCTTCTGCCTGCCATCCCTTCATTATCCCTGGCTGTTCCAGGGCCAGGTCCTGAAGGAGCCCTGAGGAGTCTCTGGCTGCAGTTCCACTGTGGCACGGCTGCCTTTCCCAAGGGTGTGAGGAACGTGCAGAGCAGAGTTACCTTGAACACGTTTAGGGAGCTCTCCCCTCGATGTTTGTCCCCTTTGTGAGCACGAAGCTGCTCAGGTTTATCTGTGCTTACAGCTCTGGGTAGGGGCTGCCTGTCAAGCCATGCGGGCAGTGGTTCATGCACCCATGATTATGTACAGGCTGCCTTCACAATGAGCTGAAATGTAGGCAATGAACTTTTTCCCCCTCCCCTTCCCTGTATCATAGCAACTGTGCTACTGCAAGGGCTATTTTAAGAACGGTAACTTTTCACCAAACGTGATTATGAGGCAGACTGAGTGAGCTCAGTGTGCAAAAAATACTGCATCCCTTCCGCAGCATCTCTGGGCCAGAATCTGATACCCTTACCCAAAAGCACAAGAAATTACCCTGCAGATTGTCCAAATAGCATTAAAAAGAGGTAGTTGTGAATGTTGCTATTTTAAATCAATGTTCAAGGAACTTGTAATGATAGCATTGCAAGAAAACACAGCCCTGTCAGGAGCTTCCAGAAAGGAGTGTCCAGGGCTGAGAAATACAAGCTGGGAGGTGAAGGGTGGACTGCAGGAGCATCCATCAGCATGGAGAGCTGCCCAGGGAGGGAAGTGATTGCTTTCTGTGGTTTGCAACAGTGATGTAGATCTTGTAAATTCTGAGGGAGTAAAAGGGTAGTTTGTATTCTGAAGACTCTTGCCTGAATAAGAGAATAGTAGAAAAGCTTCAGTCATCAAGATGCGTACAGCTGCAGGGATCACTGGCACAAAAATCTTTCAGAGTAAGCAAAGGGAGCAGTTTCTAGGTCTGCATGAGGAGGGATTTGAATTTCTGATCAGCTCAATCACACAGGACACGCTTTTCAAAGCTGAGTAACTAAAACTCTGCTAAAAACCTGCAGATTGGTAGGGAATATGAGCAGCCTTTCCTTCCCCCAGCATTGCTGGATGGCAGCAAGTCGTGCACAGAGCCTGACGCAGCCCAGACATGCCAGACCCACCTGGGAACGTGCTACACCACAGGCTCTGCTCATGCAAGGAAGGAATTGCCTTCTCCCAGAGACCTCTGATTGCCCATTGCTCATCTCCCACATGGCAGCTACTTCCAGAGCACAGTGGCCATTCACTGAGGCAGCTGGATGACCACAGAAATAGGTGCCTTCTTGAGAAACCTGAGTTTCTGTGTCCAGAAACCTGATTTTCTGTGTCTGGATTTTTGTGTCCAGATGGGCTGGTGCCCACAGGATTTGCATTACAGGTGGTTAAGACAGAGATCAGGTGATGCTCTAGGAGAAGTCTCAGTTCCCTGAGCGTGAGCAGCTTTAACACTCCCTCTTCTCAAGAGGATAGCAGAGGGGGCCTCAGCTTTCACTGCTCATGGTTTAGTTAAGGTGAAATGATGTGTTGTTACAGATACTGAAGGCAAAGCCTGCACTGGTGACGATGGCACGAGGGTGACGCAGAGCGAGGCTCCAGCAGCCGTGTGCCAGGCACTCACCTCAGAGGAGGAGCAGCAGGAGAGCCCAACAGCAGCCACAACGAATGTGACATCCTTTGGTGAGGAGCTGCACTTGGATGAGCTGAAAGAAGATGCAGGTATTGGATAGAAAATGTTTTAAAAGAACTATGAAGTGTTATAAAACTACTTCTGCTGAGGGGTTGAATATGTCAGTGCATTAAATGGTCAAAGCACCTTGTTCAGCCCAGCCCCACATTAGATTAGCAATTGCTACTTAATAGCAGTGATGTTTGAGACTTCTACCAAGCTGAGGAACTACACAAAGTTTGGCATGATGAGATTAGTTGAATTATGAGATGATCCAGTCTTGGCATGGTGCCCCTTTGGTATCAGCAGCGTCTGCTGTGACGATGAAATAAGCTTCTCTTAAAAAGATTTCTTAAACTTCTGTGCCAAGCCTGAATTTATTAATCCTGGCTCAGGAGAACAGTGTCAATACACAGGCCACACTGTCCATGTCACCACTCTGTCCCCAGCATGCTGCAAACATCAGAGGAGGTTGATACCAGGAGCAGAGATCAGCTAAGCCAGGCTCCTTCGGTGCAGCTCTGCTGAGCTCATCCATGGCAGCCCTTCCTAGGGACTGGAGCAGCCAAGCACAGCCCAGCAGCTGGAGGGCTCCATTCACCTCCTGCCAACCTAGAAATGCAAAGCTGCAGAAATAATGCTTTATTCTGCTTTGTGAGGACTGTCCTGTGGTGATTTTGGATCTTCCTGCCCTCTGGGTAATCTTCACACCTTTTCCATCTCCCCTGGCTGCCTTTTGTTCTCTGTGTCACCCCTTCAGGCCCTGCTTTCTTGGGGGTACCAGCCCCTGGCTGCTTCCACCCTCAAAATGGAAATAATTCCCTCATCAGCTGAGGCAAAACCCACTCATTTCCCTGTTATTACAGCAGCCAGATCAAATCTTGACCAGATTACAGGTTTCTTTTCTTCTTTCTCTAGTCTAGAGCATTTAATTCTGTATCACTAATGAAATTTCTTTCTGAACTTCCAATTCTTACTATTGGGACATACTATCATGGAAAGATAGCACTAATAAGGTGTCATGTGTTTAACCTTATAACTCTGCATAAACTCATAGTGTGATTTAAAATTTACCTTACAATGTGTTCAAAATAATCTAAATTTTTTAGGTCTCTTTCCCTAATCCTAGTTCCTTTTATTGTCTCCCTGAAACAATCTTTCCTGTCTTCTGTATTTCTTTTCCTCCATTTTTTGAGGTGTCATTTCCCCAGGTTCCACAAAAAATAACAGTGGGATTATATTCTCCTGTCTCTTTAGTCTGAGAGACTCCAATTTGTAGGAAGTCCTCCTATTGGTGGCCTCTGGCTTTCAAAATAATTGTTTATCCCTAGCATTCCTATCTCTAGTGAGTGCACCTGAAGGAATTAATTTGGTGGGAAAGCTCTTCAAAATTGTCAGTGTGATGCTAAATTTATTATAATGTCAATTTTTTTATAACATTGGCCTTTGGGCTCAATCTAGGCCTAATGCAGTGGGTGTCTTTCCAGAGATTCACATGAATAAATGACAAGCTAGAAACAAAATGAACGGATTTGCTTTATACCAATGTGTTCTATGTCATCCTGAGGATGTGGGATAAAGGCCAAGGAGGGAAAGAGGAGAAAACATAATTTGCAGACTTCATGTTCATGTTAATACACAGAAAAAGAACAGCCAGGGCACAAAGAGGGCAGTTTTTCCCATCTAACCTCGCCAGTGGGCTCGGGGGCAGTCCCAGGGGGAGGATTTCTACCTGGTAATGAGATGGCATTTTGACAAGTGGCACTCCATGAATAATTCTAGTGCTGAGCACTTGGAATACTTTCAGCAGGGTAATATTCACTCTGCAGTATGAAATCTGTTAATGGATTTGTGTGCTCAGGACTCAGCTCTGCCTGACACCACTCCCAGAGCAGGGTGGAGTTCAGGAACCAAAAAATCTGGCTGGGGCTGGGAGGGTTTGGGATCCACCTTCTCTGTAGCAGAGGTCCCACTGTGGCTGCTCCCCTGAGCTGTGCCAAGCAGCCCCTCCTGTCCCACTGATTCCAGGGGAGCTACTGCCAGAGAAAGCATTGCTCCTCTCAGGGGAATGCACTCAAGTCTGACTCATTTTCTTCTCCAGCTCCTAACATCTACTGGGGCTCCTGATCTTTCCCTAATGTAACCCATTAACAACTCTATTTCCCCCTTCCTCTATTACACATTTTGTCTCCTGTGCAGTGGGCACAAACACCCCAGTGTTGTCACCCTGGAACAAGGCATTTCCCTTGAAGTACATTAAAAAAAAAATTACTTCCTTCTAGAATACACATAACAATACAGCAGCTCTCCTGTCATGACAGATTTCACATGAACTCCTGATAATGATGCACATTTATTCTTTCCTGTCTCTTTTGAATGATAAATACTCATTCCTCCTCTTCTAGGCACACTCATTAATCTGTTTGTCAACAAATTAAATGCCATTATCTTGCCAATGCTATTGTTTCCAACTGCCTGAGTGCCTTGGTGCCTCCCCATACACTCTGAGCACGAGGCTGCTGAATGTTCATTAATACAGAGAGTTTGAATTCTCAACGAGACACAAAACTGAGCCAAGGAAAGATTTGTGATGCAGCTGTGGGTGCCACTGCAGTGAGATTTTAGGAGATGGCCTAGAACGGTTTGGAGGGAAAGGTGCTTGGTTAGACAATCCAGAGTGCCCAAAGGAGTGGGATTTGCCCAGGAGTTTGGACCTCTCTCATGTTCTGCATGACCCCAACTCTGGATCCTCAGAACAGGAAGACATGGAGTTGTTGGAGGTTCAGAGGGGCCACCAACAGGATCAGAGGGATGGAACAGCTCTCCTGAGAGGGCAGTCTGAGAGAGCTGGGGACAGCCAGCCTGGAGAAAAGAAGACTCCAGTGAGATCTTGTTTCAGTTCTTGAAGGGAGCTTATAAAAAAGATGAACACAAAGTTCTTGATAGGGCCTGTTGTGGTGGAACATGGGGCAATGTTTTTAAACCGAAAAAAAGGAAGATTCAGGCTAAACACAAGCAACAATTTTGTTATAATGAGGGTAGTAAAACACTGGAACCCACTGCCCAGAGAGGTGGTAAATGATTCATCCCTGGAAACATTCAAGGTCAGGTTGGATGGGACTCTGAGCAATTTGATTTCGTTGAAGATGAAGCAGGGGCTCATTTCAGGGGATTGGACTAAATACCTTTAAAGGTCCCTTCCAACACAAACTATCTTATGATTCTGTGCTTAGGAGAGAGTTAAACACTGATCTCCCCATTTGGTTGAGTACTTCCCCCCTCTGGGGTAGGAAAAATAACCCTCATGGCTACTGCTGAGCCCAGAGTGGCTGGAAATGCAGTTTGGAGGGAGCCTGGCCGTGGCTGGGTCAGAGTCAGCCTCCAGGCTCTCTCTGGGTCCCTCACCTGCCCAGGCAGAGATCAGGACATGTAAATAAAAGCCCAGCAATGAGGCTCTGTGTGAGTCTGGGCACTGCCAGGGCAGCTGTATCTGAGCAGAATTCAAGGATGCTAATTTTGGACTTCATCACTGAATTTCCACCTGTGTCCTGCTTCAGCTTCATGCCTTTCTGGATCTATTCCCCTGTGCCCTCATCACAGCCTGGTCAATTTGATGAACTGCTCAGTGATTCAGCCTGCACTAGCTTTCACAGCTAAGTGCTTTTGCCATCCTTGCAGAGACAATTCTGAAATGAGCAGTGCTTCACCATCTCAAACCAGGGCTTTGGAGACTGATTTCTTTTCTTAAGTACTTTGCCAATTCCCTGTTCCACTCTAACTGCTCAGATCCAATTGCAAACCTTTTTTGTGGCAGGTTCTTTTTGGTTATCAACCTTAACCTCAGGAAATGCTCAACAGCTCTGGAGTCAGGTACAGTAGAAGAAAACTCAGGAAGCAAGTTGAAATAATGTATTAAAAACGATAAAAATCATATTGGGAAAATAAACACACAACAAGTATTGGAAGGTCAGTTTTTAGGTGGTATTCTGGGTTTGATACTCCTTGCCCTTTGGCTGTGTGTTCCTAGACAGAAGAGTACTCACACAGAACTGTGCTACCACAGCTGTGTGCTCTAAGATAATTCATTGCAGTTCTCAAAAGTTGCTTTGCCTTGCTATCCTCATTATTAAAAAAAAAGGGAAAAAGGCTTTAGGGAAGCTCAGCAGTTTTCTCAGGAACATCAAAACTAACATTTCCTCAATATCCTTGTACATTTTATTCTTCACCTTTCCTGGCTGGTTGGCTGTTTCACACAGTTGCTTTCACAGTGGAAAAGAAGTGTTTTTAGCTGTGTGCCATGTGTTCAGTTTTTGTGAATGTTCCTGGCAGTGTCCCCTGGCCTATCATTATTAACTCCATGTTCCATTAATCTTACTCATCTTCCCACTAGCCAAGAAACCTTCAGCACCCACGGAAGAACTGGAAGATGCCAGCCTGCCAGCATCTGAAGACAGTCCACAAGCCTTACTTGTACCTGAATCCACAGATTCCCCCCAGAAGCAGACAGAAAGAAACCCAGCACAGCTTCCCAGCCCTCCATTGCTCCCAGCTCCACCACCTAAGGCAATCTCCAAAATCACCAAGAGCATAACAGGTCAGTCATCACCGCTCAGTAAAGATTTCCCCATCCTTGATGTGTTGTTCACCTCCACAGCACTGTCAAATCCTTTTCTCATGCCTGTTTTGAAGCCCTAAACTGCTGAAAATCACCCAGTTATACTGAGTGAGCAGTGACTATGTCTGATTGCCTGATAACAATGCACTGCTATTTGTACTTCACATATTCATCTGAACCTCTCAGGGGATTATTTGTCGTGAGTCTGCAGCACTAAACACACATAAAACAAATCAAACCAAATGCAAACATCTGCTGAATCCCATGCTCATATTGATATGCCATAAAACACAAGGAAGATTTAAATGTTTTCATTACCTTGACTCCCACTGGAGAGCAGGACAGCAGCCAAAATCTAGTTCAAGTCAAAGGTTCTGCGGAGGTTTCTGCCTGAAGGGTTTACTCTCTAGGGCAGGTCTAAACTAGAGCTGTGAAATCTGCTGTGAAGAGTGATACACCTGGCAATCCTCTGTGCCAGACTTTATTGATCGTTTCCAAAAGCAATTCCCCTGGGCTTCATTTTCTAGTGTATTGCCAATGTTGTTACATTTCTCAGCATTCTGGCACTGCAGAAAGGGTGCTAAAATGAGAATGATTTTAGTTGGTTCCAATTTCAGGGCCCCTACATATGGTAAAAGCAGTTAAAAGGGCCTTATTGCAAATGAAAATCAAGTCCTGACATCTAAATGTCAGACCTGTTGGATATTTAGACTTTTAAATGACAGCCATTATGTGAGCTCTGATTTGCATCCACACTCATCATCGGGCACAATGAGCAGGGTTTTCAAAGTCACCAGGAAACAAAACATCAGAGGGGTTCTGTGACCTGACCACTGAGGCTTAGAGAAAATATTGAGGTTTTCAGTCTCTTTGAAGAAAATTACAAGTACTTGTTTCCCATGGAAACAATTCATACTTTGTCTGTGCTTAAAAGCTGTAATAACTCAAGTGGGAGGTGGATTCAAAATGGCATTTTAGTGCTCTTCAGGAGCTGCTGTTCAGGTTATTTCACTGTCCTGTGCTGTGGGTGAGGCTCAAGGCTCCCCTTCCACCCTGCAAGAGGAACAGGCAGCCCCAGGCCCTCCTGCCTTTGCTCAGCTGAGGAGAAGGCCATGCTTGGCATCAGATGTATTTGGAAACCTGACCCACACAGGGTATAGAGATTACACCTCCAACAAGAACTTGAGAGCATTTAGAGTTCAGATATTTTGCTGCTTAACCCAAGTATTTCCTGTAGCATCTGAGATATTTTGAGTTTTGGTATTTAGTTCTCATTTACATCTTCCACAAACAACTTTTAATTTTCTCAACGACTCCAGTAACTCTAGACCCTTTCCCAGTAGTGATTATACATGTTTATTTTTGTGGGGATGTGGGGGCAGTGCTAAGTTAAAATTAAACAAATACCGTCAGTGAGTGAGAGGAAATACAAAAGTGTGGGGAGAAAGAAAGGGCAATTATGAAAGAAAAAGGAGATGATGAGGTTGAAAATCTCTTTTGTGTTTAGTTTTTCCCCTCCCTTAACAATGCTAGGGATGCTGTCAGCAGAGGAGTGAGGAGTAAGTCAAGCACCAATTAATCAGAGAGAGGAGGAACATGGCAAGGTGCCAAGACATCACTTTGCAAGGTTATTCACTGAACATCTGTCATTAGGACAAATAAGGTGTGATCTCAGGAAATTCTCAATATTGTCCAAAGCTGCAAGGAGGATGAAATTGGCCCTTGATCTGTTCCAGGAACGAGCTGGTGTAAAGACAAACCAGTCTTCTCTTTCCCTGCTTTGGTGTTGAGGTGAGCCCTGGCTCTTGCTCCGAGGAAACACAGACACCCTCTCTCTGTGTGCAGAGATAAAGTGGCTCTGGAGGTGGTTTTGTCCATCCTCTCAGGCCGTGATTCAGTGGGCAGCAATTGATCAGAAATCAATTTATGATTTATGATCTGTCCATCTCCACAGCAGCACAGAATCAAACCCCCATGAGTACCAAACCCAGCTTTGCTCAGCAGAGCTTGGCTGTCTCCTGGCTGGAGCAGCACCCTGATCAGGCAGGAGGAGCTCTGGGGTGGGAAGGTGGCTCACACACTGCACATCAGGCACTGACTCCTGGAGCAATGCCCCTGAGCCTTCAGACTTCCCAGGTTTTAACCAGGCTAAATTCTGGGCTAGTTTGAACCCTGTCTCCTGTCTGTATATAAATGAACAAAGCCATTGCTAAGAGTTCTGGGCTGGAGGGACACAAATGTGCACAAACACCTGCCAAAGATGAAAAAAGTAATGTAGACCTTCCTTACAAGAGAGATTTTGTTATGGATACGCTGAAGGACGCCCTCCTCCTCACCCCACAAACACAAAAAGAGACCAGGCTTAGTGCTGCCACACTCAAATTTTCAGTGTTTGACTTTGGTTATGATTTCAGGAGCTCTTCTTAAGCAAACTTAAGAAAATGCATGTTTTTGGTAACTCTTACGCAGGATGCTGGCTCTGAGAGGAGGTATTTAATAAGTGAAGTTAGTATTTTTTGCCCTCTCCAGTTTTCTAGCAAGTTACTGCTAACTGGAACCAAGTCCTTGTTACAGGACTACTTCAGGATAATCCTGGTCTGAACAGAAGTTTTTCTCTGCTATGAATTGAAGGATTTATCTCCAAAGGAAGAGAATAAAAAGGAAAAATTACCTGTGAAAGCATGTTTGTACTAAAGCTGCGCAAGCTGTGCCAGTTTAAATTCCCGTGTGAAGCACTAGGTGGCAACAAGGGACAAGAAATACTCTGGATGAGGAGCTCGAATTGCTTTTATCCACCCAGCCCGAGCTGCTGGTGTAAACAACCCCATGTGCCAGAGGCGTGGGACACCGATATAGAGGAGGGGGAAAGGGGAAGAGGACTGCAGAACAGGAAAACGAATCAGCATCTCTCCCAGGCCAGATGTTCAGTTGTCCTAAGGGGTATTGTGTGATGCCACCAAATTTACGACCAGGGAAATGTCCACTGTGCTTCAGACTCAAATGCTAGGAAATGTATAAATCAGTTTACATGGGTAACTCCAATTTCAGACAAAAGGTTTACATTGCACAGAAAATAGCTGAATCTGGGGCTAAAAAGAGATTAGATTGCCCCACCTTCCTTTTTTCTTGTTAGTGCTCAGTACCCCATCTTTCATTTGTATATAATTTGGCAAGTTTTGTTATACAAACATTATCCTCATATTATAATGATTTTGGCATTTTCTCCACGGGCATATGAAAGACAGAGGTCTGGGCTGTGCTGCAATCACAGAGGAGCAGCTAATAGACACTGGTACATTTTGTCCAGACTCAGAACCACAGGGCATAAATTTTAATACAGTCTGCCAGAGTCCAGCAGAGAAAATGCTAGATTGGAAAGCCACCACAGCCCAGGCTTTTGGTGGTTAGGAGCAGCAGTGTGGGCAAGCAAAAATGCAGTGGTAGGCTGGGAGAAAGGAGAATCTGATCCTGTGATAAACAGGGGAAGTGGGAGAGGCATCTGTTTTGCTAGATTAAAGATCTGGAGTGGTGCAGCAAGAGCCTTTTGAACTCAGTTACTCAGCCAGTTACCTCACAGCAAGAGCAAAACATCTCCATTTGTTCAATACAACAAATTAACTTCAGTGCAGACTGTGCAAAAAAGAACAAAACAGAAAAGACATTGCACAACCTCTTCCCCTCTTGTGTTTTGACAGCAGGAAGTGAAATGGATGATCCAGCCATGAAATCTCCTCCTTCCACCATCCTGAAGAACTATGTCATTGTGGGCTCCTCCCAAATCTCAGGACAAGCTGCCCTCTTCCACCCCTCTGGCCAGAAAAGCTCCGAGCCCCATGGCAGAGGCCAGGTAACAACGCCCACCGGTTCCCCTCACCTGGCTGCCGTTCATCTGCCTTTACCTCCCAGCAGAGTCATTGAAGAACTCCACAGGGCTCTGGCCACCAAACACCGGCAGGACAGGTACCTACAGCCTGCAGGCACAGGGCTGCATGAGGACACTCATCCCACCGCTTCATTCTTCTTGGAAAGTGTTCCTATCCTCTTGTTAGTGTTTTAATTGCTGCTACAGCTTGGGTTTGCTTTCCTCGTGGTGTCACTGCTTGGAACAAACAGTTAAACAAATCCCTGGTTAAAGTGCTTCATTTAGCAGCTATTTCATTGTGTGTTCCTCCTTTATAAGGAGGCTACTGTGGCACAGGAGTAGGTTTTCAAACAGGTAGAATCAGGTGATAGTCCTTGATCTACTGCAAAAGAAAACCTTCCCCACAAGATACCGAGTTAGAGTAGCAAAGGCACATCCTGCTCCAAGTACTCTACACATGAGAAATGCTGCAATTTCTGTGTCTCTTGGCTGACACAGGAGCACATACAAGATCCATTTTTAATACAAATGTTTTTGTGGGAGTACATTGGGTGCTTTGTCTGGGTCTCATTATAAACCCTCCTGTGGATCAGAGGAGGACAGAGATATCCTTTGCCATTCCAGAGCTTTGGAATGAAGTTGGTAATTTCTCAGTTCCCTAACAACTACTGGCCCAGGGACCAGATTCACATGATGTCATTTCCAGGCCCTGTTAAACCTTTGTCATGATCATACAATATCATATGAATGGTCATATTTCATGCCACGCATGTTTTTAAGAATGTGTTGTTGTGAGGTTTTTAATCACTACAGTGTATCTTGTGACCATGTATCAAAGAAAAACATTATTCACCACCCCTGCATGTCTTATTTTAATGGCAGAGACAGGAAAGTAGATCTGCATTAGCCATTCTCAGCTTGAAAAAGCCATCCTGTGTTGGTCCATGCCAAACTCCCTGCCCTGCCCTTTATCAGCTACAGGACATTTTTCTCATTCTCATGTAAGTTTCTCCTGCAGCAATAAAACAATCTTTGTAAAATCTGTGCTGTGCATCTTCTGCCCATAGCTTCCATGGAAGAGAAAGCAAAGGCTCTCCAAAAAGAAGGGTGGATGTCCGTCCCTCGAGAACGTCGAGTATGGAGCGCAACAAAGAGAAGGAGAACTCGCTGAGTTATGGCAGTGACTCAGAAAACAAGAGGAACTCGGTTAAAGAGTCAGATGAGAACAAAGAAAACATGATTATGAACTCAGAGCTCAAGGAAGAGTCTGTTTTTTATCAGGATGAGGAAGTTTTAAACGATTCTGTTATTTCTGGTAAGCAAAATCACTGTATTACAAAGATCATTCACAACCAAAGGGAATGCTCTAAAGGCAGCAGAAAATATTGTGAAGAATAAATTCCTCTACTGTCACATCAGCTCTTTGAAGGAACCCTGGTGAAAAGCTGAAGTTAAATTGGAGTCACAGTGATTGTGACTGTCCTCCAGGTGTTGCACACTGAGGTGTATCACTGTGCTTTACCCTCTCAGTTACTGGTGCACCCCGGGGCTGCTCTGTATGAACAGCAGCACTCCCAGACAACCCCCTGTGAGCAGCCAGAGCTTTCTGTACACCCTGTGCCAATGCTGGCGTCTTCTGGAATTTCAGAACTATTTTTCCATGCAGTGAGGGTACATGGAAAAGTGATAGAGGCCAATCAATCTAGAAAGGACAAACATGTAGAGAAACTATCTTAAAGAATAAAGTTTCTCTCCATCTGGTCCATTTTACCCCTTCTTGAGACATGTGGGGAATGCATTTTATAATCCTGTGCAATTATTTAAGTGAGCTTTGGCAAAATAATCAGCTCTCATTAGAAAATTTGTCATTCAAGGTTTTTAATGTTTTCCATGTTAGCAAGACAGATTCAATCTGAAATGAATCTTTTACTCTCTTCATGAATCCATTAAAAGAAGGCAGGCAGAAACAATTTATCAAAAAATAATTGTTATAGCAGATGAAAGATGAATTTTAAAAGGTGTCTTTGAAAGCATGAGCCAGCAGATAGGACACGAGTTCTGCTGCTGTATCTTAAGACACCAAGTAACAGAACAGACTCCTGAGGTAAGGCAAAAGAAAAGAGTCCCTTGCCTAATTGCTGTGCATTTAAGGATACCTTAAAATACCTTTTTCTGGCTATGTATGTAAAAGTGGACTCTTTTGATAAAGATTCTAAGAGCTAGAGGCAGCCAGGCAAAAAATACATTATCCCCTATGAGTAAAACCAAATCTGAATATTTAACTATTGAAGGTGAATCTCTCTATATTTAACAAATAATTATTATGATGATAGGAGGGCACTGGTTATTGTACAAGTTTCAGGGATATCTAGAAGCAGGTCTGGGCTTTCCACAATAAGTGCTTGAGTTTTGGAAAATACCTGCAGTTGAAGGACAGTGGTGGTGTACTGGGAATGGCTGAGGCCCCCTGAGAAAAACAGAGCTGCTTTAATGATATTTTGGCATTATTGTGGCTGCAACAACACTGCTGCTTGGCACAGAGGATGCTGAGCTCTGACTGATGTTCCAGAGCAAGCTGGGACATTCCCAAGGCATTTCTGGTGTAGAGGCACTGCTGGTGCCAGTGTTCCCAGGGACAGCACCAGAACAATTCCCTAAACATCTCCAGATTCCTTCTGGTTTGAAGAGATCTGGGCTGGTTTCCAAGCCAGGGAGTAAAACTGTCCTTAATGCTGAGCTGCTTTACAGTCCCTGTCCTTCCTTAGCAGTCACCTGCTCTGCCACTGCCACCACCACAGGGCACAGTGCCACAGCCCTGGGGCTACAGGGAGGTACTGACATGTCACATAACTCTTGAAAGAGTGAGGAATTATGCCTTGGTTTTCTATTCCTACTCAATAAATCATTATTTGAAACCTCTGAAAATGCAAGGCAAGATGAGCTTAAAAAACAATGTTACTAGAACATAGCTCACAACTGATAACTGGTGCAGTCAAGGTCTGTCCAACATCAGGCAGTGTTAGGATTTGCTGTTTGATTGATAGAACAGGATAAAAAGAACAGTAAACATACAGGAAATTAAATGCCATGATTTGACTGAATTGAAACAGGGAGTTTTTCCAGGAACCTGCAGCCTGAACATGAAAAGGGTGTGAATTTCCCAAGCATTTCTTGTTGACCTAGCTGAGGTGTGATAAATCATGAAACAATCCAGCCTGAGATAGATGGCTGGGGGCAGACTGGCTCTGAATGTACCTGATTGACTAAGAAAAATAACCCTTGGAAAAAGAATACTTAAACAAGGGTGTTTGCAGGTCCAGTTTCTACTGAGATAGTGATCAGGAAGGAATTTGTCTCAGGGTGCTTAAAATGTATGTGGAGAAGAATAGCTTGGGGCTTTATTTTCTCTTTGTTCTCTAGTTTTGTTTTATTCATGCACTTATTTTCTTTTAATATATAGATTTTGCATGTATGCTTGCATTTTAACCTGTTCTGGTAAATGATGTTTCATTATGAACAGTCCACCTTTGATTGACAGCGGGAGCTGACACTGTTAATTAGGATTTTGACCCCACTTCCTTTGAAGTCAATGACAAAAACCTATAGATTATATCACTTTCCATGCTCCCAAGGTGCCCTGCCCTGGACACTCTGCACTGCCCAGTTCTGCAGCTCCCGTGGACACACAGATCTCCTTGTCCACAGAAACCTCCTGACATGACCAAATTCCTCCTGTGACCTCTTTAAAATACTCAGGTGAAACTGGGAGTGTGTGCAGGGATTCCCAGGAGTTTTCTAGCCCCGAATGTCCTTCAGGTTGTTTCCAGCAGGAATTCTGTTGGTTCCTCTGCACCCACTCCCAGCGTGGTGGGAAGCCCTGTCAGAGTCCCCAGTCTGGGGCTTTGTGAGCCAAGTGCTTCTGATGGAGTCAGAGATTCACTTCACAGAAGGCTCTGTGTGGCAGCAGCCAAATCATTTCACTTTCCTACCCATCTGTTAAATGTATATCTGCTACTTCAGACAGGGCTGTGTGGTTTAATTTAATTAATGCTTGCAACAGACTGTGAGAGCATTTCAAGGAAGGTGCTAAATAAGGGCACAGCTTTTTAGGCTCCAAAAGAGGTTTTGAGCTGATTATGGTTTCTGAAAAGTTTAACTTTAGATCAATGCAACTACCAAGAGATTTTTCACTGCTCACACAGGGAGACCAAAATTACTGTGCTCCACTCTTTCCAACAGGTAACTGTGGGAAGAAGGCTGTACAGATTCCTCCCTCTGCATAAGGAAATTTGAGATCAGTAGTGATAATAAAAAAGGCGGTCCACAGATCCCTAGCAAATAAAACCCCAAATAGAACCTAGTTAGGATTTAGAATCTTGCCAACCTCCAGAGCATTCTTTAAAAAATAGACTTTAATCCTAACTCAAATGCCAAACAAAAATACCAATTAAATGTCGTTTTCTTTAAAGATGAGGTGACCTTCTCTAGAAAAGGTGAAGCATTAAATTTAAAAAAACTCAAAGCCTTCAAAGCAAAAAGGAACCAAAACAAATTAACCTCCTATTACACACCATGCTTCCAAGATGAAACAAAGATTTAACTGCAGTTCCTGCATGCTCTGAGGAATATGTTCCCTCTGCATTTGCAGTGCTTTTGTGTCTGAGCCCTGCTCAGCTGCAGTGCTGCTTTCTGATATTAATGTGTACAACTGCTCCTTGCACAGCACCACACAGGTCACTGTCACTCTGTGCCATTCCTGCTCTCCAGAAGTTCCTGTTTCATCCCCAGGAGCTGCCTTTCTAATAACTTTGCTTTCAATGCATGTCCCAGGTACTTTGCCAAGAAAATGCAAGAAAGAACTGCTGGCAGTAAAACTACGGAACAGACCAAGTAAGCAGGAGCTGGAAGACAGGAATATTTTCCCAAGGAGAACCGATGAGGAAAGACAGGAAATCCGGCAGCAAATTGAAATGAAACTCTCAAAGTAAGTGTTGTGAATGAGAATAGGGAGGAGCCTCCCTTCACAATGGAGCATCCTCTGAGCCCTGTCAGAGGCACTGGCACCCACCCCCAGGTCCACTGCCTGCAGGAAGCAATCCACAAACCAATACAGCACGTTTTCAGCTGTCAGTCAGCCACAGGAGAAAAAGTTTTAACTCTCTCTTCAGTCAGGATTGCCTGGATTTCAAGGGAAAACAAGACAAAAGTCAATTTGGGAGACAAAATCTTGCCAAATCTACCTGCAGCTCTGCTGCTGCAATCAGGATTTGGAGGTCCTCCAGGAAACCCAGTGCTTTAACAAAAATAGTAGTATAATTATTTATCAACTAGATTTGGCTTTGTCATCTCAAGCTGAATGTGAGGACAAAGGCAGTTGTTGGAGCTGCATATTTATTTGCCCAAGGGAAAGCTGCTGCACAGGTAGCTGCACTGGTGCCTTAAGGCAGAAGCAGCATTGCCCTCACCTGGGGAAGGTGCCTGTGTAAGTCCAGCTGCAGGCATAGCAGGGATGCTCTGGTTTGATCAGTAACCAGGGCAACAGGGGAGAGCTGTGAGAAACAGCATCACTGTGGTGTGCAGCCTAAAGCAAAGACTGAAGGTAACTGGGAGGCTCAGACTGCACCATTTGGGTTTTGTGTGTGCTTTTTTAAGGGCTGCATTTGGATATCTGTAAACATGAATATTTTAGAGGAGACAAAGTGGATTGTTAAAGAATCTGTGCTGTGCTGCCCACACAGGGACAGTGAGCACTGCTCACCGCCAAAATGCTCAGAATCAAATTGAGAAACATGCACACAAATTCATTTTCAAGGCTTATTAAATATTAAATATCTCAAGCCTCTCCTGAAAGAAACATTTATTGATATTTAGACTAACTCATTCATGTGCATGCTTTTGATTAAAATTTACCTCCAGGGACAGGGAATGAGAACAAATGTGTGGATCAGAGCATGAGTCCTAATGGACCAGAGTTTATGGAGGAGAACATCTCTGCCTTCACCACTCCTGCCCTCAGCTAAGGCATGAGCTGCTGAGGGAACACAGAGGAGGTTTTGGGTGCCCTTCATGGTGCCTCTGCAAAAGCAGAGATGGAGTTATGGTCCCTCCAGTCTCAGTGACTGCACAGCAGCACTTGGCACCCAAAGGGGAGCAGTGCTTTGTGCCAGGGGCTGCACAGCTCAGTGCAGGTGGCAGACCCTGCCACAGAAAACATGTTCATCCAGACAAGCAGAAAAGATCCCCCTAAAATATAAACTGAGTTCCAAGAGTTAGAGACAGAGCAGATGAAAGGTGTGTCCCATTAATACCCATCACTTAAGGAAGCAAAGATGGGCCTTGATAACCCTGACCTTGCAAGCTTTGTGCATGCACTTCAGGGAAATACTTCAGATTGCACCCCAGTATCATTAATTCCATTGTTTTGGCCATTTGATAACTCATGAGAGCTCTTCATATATCAAGAGCCAAATTTGATTGCTTTAAAATACACAAAAAACGGTTTCCACCCTAATGCATCCCTAAAATTCAACCATCACAAACTATTCACTGAATGAGAAGATTGTCATACCCAGCCCCATCTCCTATTGCTGAAATGCCTACAAGGTCACATCTCTTTTCAGCCCTGCCTGATTTCTCTTAGTCTGAAAGGTCTGATGGAATTGCAGCTTCAGGTGCTGTAACTATAACTTTTATCCCTTTATTTTCATTTACATTTGTCTTGCTTAATAATGAGCCTAAAGAAATACTGTAAAAGATGCATCCCTAGAGTCAAATGTCAGTACAAGGACTTGCAGATAACACTGCTGGACAGGTGAAAGGGGCTGGCCACCACCAGGAGGCAGGAAATTTGTTGTGTGTAGGTGAATGCAGCTAAGGGAGCCTCCCCTGCCTGCTGTGATCTCATGCAGCAATCTGGGGTGCAGCCCATCAGTGTCACTGGTGATGTCTAGAGGATGGCTAAAAGCCATCTTTGTTCCAAGTGTTGGAAGTCAGGCCTTAATTTGGTTCCTTCTTCCTGGAACGTGGAGGATTGAGCGCATTTCGGGGAACAGACGGCGCAGAGATTGCCGGAATAGCCAGGAAAAAAGGCAAAACAGATTGGGAGCAGTCTCCCACACAACTTCCAGCACATATGTGCTGGCAGAGCTCAGCTCAGCTCTTAACTCATCCACCAGAATAGAACATGACCGGGCAAACAAGCTCAGGTGGTGGATGAATGCAGGAAAATATTTACAACACCAGGAAAAGCAAGTGGGTGTCCAAAAAACCAACAGCCAACCAACAAAGTAAAAGTGAATTCTGGCAAAGGCCAGAAGCCCTAGAGATACCCTTTGGAGTTTCTGACCAGGACTCACCCCACGAAACCCAGACCACCCCAGAGCCCACACTCAGAGCAGAGCCTGGCTCTGGTGTGGAAAACAAACCAAACTGGGAAGAGTGAAATTCTTGGATGAGCTTTTCAGGTGTTTGCACTCATTCATTTCACTGGGACTTGTGCAGCACAGTCTCTGTGTGACAACTTGGAGGTTTCTAGCTAAGGAACATAGTGCTGGGGTGGGAAGTGCTGCCTGGGAGATGGGATGCAGTAGAAATGTCTGTTCTCTCCAGGGCTTTGCCACTACCTGTGCAGAGAAGAGCAGCACTGCTGCTGCAATAGCAATTCTTAGGTAACAGCAAATCAGGAATCCACGTGTACCATCAGGCTGTAGATCTGTGTTTAGCACAAAGAATGATCTATGGGCAGATTAGCAAGTAGTTATTCAATGACTGACTGCATAAGAATGCCACATAACCAGGCAGTTGTTAACAGGGTCGATATTTTTCAGCACAGTTGCAGAGGTTTGATGGTCTGTAGCTGTCTAGCAAATTGTCTCAGCCCCACAGCTAACACAGCCTCACTCTGTACTCTGGAAGGAAAGATGTACTGACATAGATAATGTGCAAAATACACCAAATAATGGTGTTTATATAGCTTTAAAAATGGGGAGACAAAAGAATAGCATCCTCTCAAAACCACTGTATTATTTAAGTGGTTCTGGCTGTAACACATTCCAACAGCAGCTGCGAACCTGCTGAGAAAAGCTACTCTGCTATTACTCTGATGACTGTTTATGAAGTCAAAACTAAAACCCCTATTTTCCTTCACCTTCCCACTCATTCCATCCCAAAAGAGAGATTGAGAAATGCTGTATTTTGAGACAAATTCTACTTTTACAGCAGTGCAAATCTACTGGCTTCAGATTTATTATTGACTGACAGTGGCATGAGGAGAGATTCCAGGATTTATTTATGTGCATCGCTGCTTTTGAAAAGTGTATTTCCTGCATTTTGTGCTCCCAGCCAATTTAATCAACCACTTGTTGTCGTGGAAACATGGACTTTTCCCTCCTCCTCCCTCCAAAATGGCACTATTCCAGTTTTCCCTATGCTGTAGTGCTTCTCTGACTAATCCATGCATCCCCAGTGCCCCAGAGCATGGTGAACTCTTGGAATCCTCTGCTGTGCATTAGGCAACAGGGCTTCCAACAGGTCTTGGTTCCTTTATTATGTGTTCAGAGCACAGATAATAAGCCCTCAATGGAATTCAGTGAGTTGAGAGCTCTTTGTGTCACGAGGCAGAAAAGACACGATTATTTGCAATATCTGCTTCCTGTCTCACAGACACACGTTGTTTTAGAAGGGGTTTCAGCTGAAACCTGGGGGAGTAAAACACTTGCTAGACTGAAGGGTGACTCAGGGAAAGGCTGTTGAATTAAATTTGATATCTGGCTGTTTAGAAAGTGGATGTTTGAAGTGTCTGGGTGGCTTGTGCTTCTTGGGAACGTAACCATAGTTAAATACACTCCAGTATAACTTAATGTCTCAATGAAAGTACAAATTCCTTGAAAAGATTATACCTGTAATATTCACTTTGTGTACTGCTTCACCTTCTTGTATTTGTACAAGTACACATGATGCGTGAAGTGGCACTTAAAAGATGATGGGGACAGGAATAAAATACAGAAATGTGGGTAGAGGAATCAGACAGGAAGAACAAAGGGTTTCTGTACACAGAGGAACCAGAACTTGAGCACCTAAAGCTGATCTTTACCACATTGAAAACATTGGCTTGGGGAAGTGGATGATGCTGGACCAAGGTTTCCTGGCAACAAAAAGAGAAGAGGAGGCATCTTTATTCAGTTGTTACCAGATCTGGACTCTGTAGGTGTGGTGCTGCCCTGAGGTTCCTGGAGAAGCATTTTCAAGTTGACTCACCCAGGAACTGCAGCTGTAGCTAAAAGCACACTCAGATGAGACCCTGGCTTGTCCCTCAGGTAACAGAGTGCGAAGTTCACAATGCTGCTGGAGACAGAACAATACCAAGCAAAAAGCACTTCAGACTGACAGCCTAAAAGCAAAACAGCACCACGGCCCAGCACAGAGCACTCACAAAGACAGTTTCACCTACTGACAGCACAAAAGCTGTGCCATGCTTCCCAAGGACAGCACATTCAGTACCACTTCTCCACAGAAATGTCTCAGGGTAGCTTTGCTCACTGAAAAGGCATCATCAGCCCTTCAGACTGAGACACTCGGCAGGGAACTCGGCTGAATGCACAGAACTTTGGGGAACATTTTGTTTAGATTGACCACAGAAAAAATTGGGATGTGTGTAAATGTACAGACTACTGGTAGTCCTAATGCAGAAGTTGAGGAGATGCTGAACTGAGCCCAGCCTAAGCTCACCTGAGGATTAGCAAGGTTGTTTTTTTTTAATGAATCTCCAACTGTGCTCCAACTCCCGGTCACTGGACTAAAAACCAGGGAACTGCCCTAATTTCAGAAGGCTGGGAGGACTTGACACAGATTCATGCCAGAGACAGAAAGGCAGGGGGCCAGGTACAAAGGACAGATCAGCTGTCAGCACTGATTAGCTGTGTACAATTGAATGCATTTCATTACTGGGCAGGAACCATCCAGGTAAGCATCTCGCTGATGCTAAAA